GTAGTTCCAGCTACTTGGAAGGATGAGGCAGAAGGATCGCTGGAGCCCAGCAGGTCGAGGCTGTGGTGGCCAGGAACGGCCACTGTACTCCAGTCTGGGCGACAGAGTGAGACTTCAACTCAAAAAAAAAAAAATAAATAAAAATAAATAAAAAATTTTAAAAAGGCCTTTGCAACGCAAATGAATGCAAAATCACTCCAGTTTTTCTCAATTGTTTGCAGCTGAATCACCCACACCTCGTTTGACAGCATTCTTTTTGCTAAGTCAACTTCATCTAGTCTTTCTAAAGCTTTAACTTGCTCCAGAAACAGTTCTGCTATTCACATTCTTGTTTTATTGGTTTATGTACTGTGTAATTAAATTATATAAGTACAATAATCACTACTCTGGCATACAGCATTTGAGCATGAACCTAGTTGAGTACTGGTTGGCGTGCCACTCAACCTATAAGATAATCTGCTGTTACACAGAGTAAAATGTTTTTGCCTAATTCATTCATTCATTCATTCATTCATTCATTCAGTAGAAACAAGGACTTGCTGTGTTACCTAGGCTGGTCTTGAACTCCTGGCCTCAAGCGACCCTTCCTCCTTGTCCACCACAGAGATGTGTGGACTTATACAGGAATATCTGACTGGCCATGAGCATCCCACCTGTCAGAACGATTTTCAGAGGGCAAGAGAGCATCAGCTAACCCACCAAGTTGGTTAAAATAGGTCAGTTGGAAGACTTTGAAAAAAAAAATTGTTTTAATTTAAAAAAAGAATTTGTACCCTGTCCCAGTAAAAGAATCTTCCATTACACGGAGCAAAACGTTTTGTGCCTCATTCATTCATTCATTCATTCGAAACAGGGTCTTGCTATGTTGCCTAGGCTGGTCTTGAATTCCTGGCCTCAAGTGATCCTCCCGCCTTGTCCTCTCAAAGCACTGGGATCACAGACATGAGCCACTGCGCCTGGCCATTTTGTATCAAATTTAAATGAAAGCTTTTAACTAGGATTCAGATTTGTTTCATAAT